GCCATTGAGTCAGTTGTGACACTGCATAGGGTTTCCAAGGCTAAAACTTTTTATAGGAGCAGAAAGCCTCATTTTTCTCCTACGGAAGAGCTGGTAGTTTTGAATTGCTGATCTTAAGGCTAGCAGCCTGACTTGTAACCACTATGCTACTAGAGCTCATACCTGTTCTTTAATGTTATAAAAGTTTGCCCTCTTTGAGATGTTTGAACCAACCCAACTTGAAACAAATTCTTCATCACATTTACATTCATTTGATGTGCTGTAGGATAACTATGGAACTACTAACCGCAAAGTCCTGGTGTGGTGCTAAAGGATAAGCATTTGACTGCTAACAAGGTCAGCAGTTCAAACCTAACAGCTGCTCCTCAGAAATCCCATGGTAGTGATGTGGTTATGTGCTGTGGAGTCAGTTCCAACTTATAATGACCCTGTAAATCTTTGTTGTTGTTAAGGGCCGTCGAGTTAGTTCCGACCCATAGCGACCCTGAACAGGGTTTCCAAGGCTGTAAATCTTTACGGGAGCAGAAAGCCTCATCTTTATCCCACAGAGCAGCTGGTAGTTTCGAACTGCTGACCTTGCGGTTCGCAACCACTACGCTACCAGAGCTCCTTCTTTACAAGAGCAAAAATCCTCATCTTTGTTCCACGGAACTGCTGGTAATTCCAAACTGCTAGACCATGAGATTAGAAGCCCGACTCGTAACCACTACACTACCAGAGTTCCTTCAGAAACTCTAGTGAGGGTCTCTATGAGTCAGAACTAACTCAACGGCACTTAACAACTTACTGCGAGGTCAACAGTTCAAACCCAACAGCTGCTCCAAGGAGAAAGATGAGGTTTTCTGCCCCATAAAGATTTATAGCCTTAGAAAACCTATACAGGGTCACTATAGGTTGGAATCAACTCGATGTCCTTGGGTTTTGGTGGTGGGGAGCCTTTAAATCCAGTCAAATAATCAAATACATTACTCAAATAATACCCTTATCAGCTGTGTATTTTGTTCCTTAGAACATCATGATCTATTTGACTTCTGTGGCTTAGTTATCATTAAGATAACTGTGCCCACCTGACCACAGACAGTTAAGTTCTCCAGCCTCCCTTGATTGTTTACAATGATACCAGAAACCAAGTTCCACGGCTTTGTTTTCTACAGTCAGTTCTAGTCTGTAGAGGTCAGTCACTGCCAAACTTCTTAAAGTAGCCTGTAAGTTTCTAACCATTATATTTTGTCTTGCCTTGGTGATGAGTATCATCCGGATCTTCCCAAGGAACACAGTTAGATAGTAGCTTCTCCAGTCTTAAATAATAAATCTATTCTATATACCCATGTCCCTTTGCTTTTTGACCACTTCCCAATACCAAGTCAAGTAACACCTGGCATTTCCACATCTTCTAGACACTATCATTGATTTATAGCAAGCCATGTTAACTGCATGTTAGGAGTAACTCCAGATAGTCTGTCCAGGGCCGTAGAGCCTGAGTCATGTGTGAATGCTTCCATCCTTGTCACTCTTCCCTATCAAACTTTCTATCCCACCCCCAAATCACCCTCATGATCCTCTCCCAGACATGTTTCTGGAATTCCTGTTAATACATATTAACCAGCTCCTGGTGTGGCTCCATAGGATAAGCACTGGGTTGCTAATTACAAAGTTGGTGGTTCAAACCCACCAGTCGCTCCTTGGAAACACTATACTGGGTCACTATGAGTTGGAACAAACTCAACAGCACTTAACAACAACAGTTCATTCAGAGTATAACCTGTTCTCCCAAGAACTGTATTTCCCTACTTGAGGTATACTGAGACCTGACCCTATACTTATCAGTTTGAGGAGTGGGTCTTGAGAAACATAATTATCATCTTGCAATGTAACTGTTGTTGTCAGGTACCACTGAGTCAGTTCTATGCACAACAAAATGAAACACTATCCAGACTTGTGCCATCCTCACAATTGTTATTTGAGCCTATTGTTGCTGCCACTATGTCAATTCATCTCCTTGGGGGGTCTTCTTATTTTCCCTTAACCCTCCACTTTACCAAACACGATGTCTTCCTCCAGGGACTGATACCACCTGAAAGCATATCAAAGAAAGAGAGACGAAGTCTGGCCATCGTCACCTCTAAGGAGCATTCTGGCTGTACGTCTTCCTAGACAGATTTGCTTGCTTTTCTGGGAGTCCATGGTACTTTCAATATTCTTCTCCGATACCATAATTCAGATGCATCAATTCTTCTCTGGTCTTCCTTATTCATTGTCTAGCTTTCACATGCATATGAGGTGATTGAAAATACCAGGGCTTGAGTCAGGCACACCTTATTCCTCAAAGTGACATCTTTGCTCTTTAGCACATTAAAAGAGATTATTTTGCAGCAGATTTGCCTAATGCAATATGCCATTTGATTTCTTGATGGCTGCTCCCATGAATGTTGATTGTGGATCCAGGCAAAATGAAATCTTTGGCAACTTCAATCTTTTCTCCATTTGTTCTAATGTCATTTACTGATCTAGTAGTGAGGATTTTTGTTTTCTTTACATTGAAGTACAATGTATACTGATGGCTGCAGGCTTTGATATCATCAGTATTTCAATTCCTCTTTGCTTCCAGCAAGCCAGATTGTGTCAACTGATTATCACAGGTTATCACAAGTCTTCCTCCAATCTTGATGCCACGTTCTTCTTCATATAATCCAGCTTCTTGGATTCATTGCTCAGCATACAAATTAAGTATAGTGAAAGGATACACCCTGGCACACACCCTTTCTGATTTTAAACCATACAGTACCCTCTTGTTGTATTCAAACAACTGCCTCTTGTCTATGTACAAGTACTTCATGAGCACAATGAAGTGTTCTGGAATACCCATTCTCTGTAATGTTAACCATAGTTTGTTATGATCCACACACTCAAATGCCTTTGCATAGTCAATAAAACACAAGTAAACATCTTGCATGTATCCTACACTTTCTGCCAAGATCCATCTGACATCAGCAATGGCATCCCTAGTTCCATTTCCCCTTTTGAATGTGACTTGAATTTCTGGCAGCTCCCTGTTGATGCTCTGCTGCAAACATTTCTTAATTTTCCTCAGCAATGCAACTATCTCAGATAAAGTCTTTGCAGGATCTCCAGACACAAGTAAACTGTTCTCCTCTAGCAAAGTGAAGAGACAGCTTCTGCCAGCATAGAAATCCAAGGGAACCTGAGTTCAAGATTCTCAGGCTCACCACTCGAAATGTCCCCATACCATAATTCAAGGTTTCATTCTTTTCCTGGAAAAATTTTGACATCAACAGAGACTACTGAGATTGTCACTCAGTAGTGGTTGTGGGCCTGCCACCTTTGCTAGTACTTTTGAGATCCAACTGTAACAGTCTTCCCGGAGTGCAGATGGTATTTTCATTCAAGACTGCATTAGAAGAACATTTGCATTCATCCCAGGTTTTATAATGCTAGGTGAGTTTATGCCATTTTCTTTTTCCAAGGCTTCTAAAGCAGTTAACAATAGCTAACCAGTACCTCCATCTTTATAATTTCTACTAACTCCTGTTCAACTCTAATGCCGTAATTATGCATAGCCTAACACGTCACCTTCCACATGTAGTAATTGTGATACTCCTTCCTGTAGGCTAGGAGGTACCACTGTTACACTTACTAGCAGTTATACCCACAGCCACTGAGTCAATTCCATCCAACTCATAGTGACCCTATGAAGGGTTGCCTAGAATGTAAATAGCTAAGAGTTTCTAATTACCACCTGTCTGGTGACTGAGCCAGTTATAGGATCCTTTCCTAAAGGTTTGTTTTCTAAGGCTATTCTTGGTGTCCATCATCTTGTTGTTAAGTGCTATTGAGTTGGTTCCCACTCATAGTGACCCTGTATAGAGCTTCCAACGAGGAGCTGGTGAGCTTGAACGACTGACTTTGCGGTCCAAACGCATTAACCCACAGCCTGTGTTTACTTTCACCAAAAGTGGAGCCTAAGACATTACATTACGTGTAATTTATTTGGGAAGCGATCTGAAGGAATCAAAGTGGAATAGGAAAGCGAAACAAGGAAAAGGAGACAACTAACTGAGCATATATTATTGAGTTGGCTACTGCAATAGACGACTAGTGCTTAGAAAATCACAGGGTTTTCTAAGGAAGCTTATGAAACGCATCTTAGGATTGTCTTCCCAGCAGAAAAAAATGTGAAGCATTCATCTACTGACTCACTCACAGCTCAGTGCTACACATGTGTGACGCAGTAGGGTTATACTGGGCATCTGGAGCCACCTGCCAAAGCATCCCTAGGGAAGGAAAGAGTCATGAGGTGGGCCCAAGGCAATGAGCTGTCAGATGGCTCCTATGTGAAGCTGTCTAAAGCCCACTTGGAAGTGTTTCACAGCAGCCCCAGAGATGGAGGGAGGGCGCCAAGGAGACCTTGGTGCTTAGGGTAACAAGCAAAAAGAGAGTCAAACAACAAGCAAAAGTCAAAACAGTGTTTGTTTGTTTGTTTGTTTATTTGAAACAGAACTTAGCATGAGAGATATGCTATATATACAGTTATATATAAATACAATTAATAACACAACTTGAAAATCAGTATGATTATATAGTTTCAACATGACATTAAAAAAGACAGAGTAACATTACAAAGTTGAAAAAGTAAAAAATTAAGGATTTTAACTTACTATTTTGAATGAAAACTGTGACCTTTATATATTTCTTCTAAGTCATCAATAACACTTTCAATTTTTAGAACAGTCTAAAATATCTATATTATGATAAACTAAGAATATTTACTTTCATGTTTTGATTCATACAAATATATTGCCTCTTTGTTAGGAAAGATAAAAAATATGTACAACGTGATAAATCAAAAGCTATATAAAGTATTTTCACTTATTTAAATAAATTAAGGAAATATCCAAATAAGCGTTTTAAACAGTAAAAGATGTAATTAACTTGAGAGAAAAGAAACATTTGGATAATGGTTTTCATTCCTCCAATAGTCTTCATGAAGGTTTTGTAGTTGATGACAAAGGTGCTTTTCCTTTCTGCTTAGCAGCCCTTTCCATTTTTATCTGAAAATTTAAAATATTTATTGACATAAGAATTTATCAAACAATTTTTAAAGAAAAAATGGTTGCGCATGGATCTTTTGGATTCATGTCTTAGTTATACAGTTATTAAACACAGCTACTAGTTATTAGCTGCTAATCACTGAAGCAAAAATTGATAGCTGAAGGGACATATTTCAAATATGGTTTGATTTCAACTTCATGGGGAATTTAAATAAAAATAATTTAAGTGAATATTGCTATAAAGAAATTCATTTCAATTGTTAGTTTAAAATAATTTTTTTAAACGTAATCATCTAACCTTATATCCAACCTAGGCATATTTGCTACAAAGTTATAGAATACTCCTTGTCCAGCCAGATTCCCTCTGAAACATGAACTACTTTAAGGATATTGCTAAACTAGATGCCATCGAGTCAATTCCACCTCATGGCAACCCCGTGGGTGTCCAAGTAGAACTGTGCTCCATGTCCTTTACAACGGCTAATTTGTTAGAAGCTGATTGCCAGGTCTTTCCTCCAAGGCACTTCTGGTTGGATTAGAATTCAAGCCTCCAACCATATTAACAACAAACATATTAACGTTTAGCAACAAACATATTAACGTTTTGCCCCAGCCAGGGACTCCAAAAAAACTGCTAATTACTTATAATTCTGGCATCAGCACTCATACTCTTAAGCAGCAGCCTTTTAATGTTTTTGACACATACAGAATCTTTCTAAAGAAAAAAAGGCTCTGGGGAAACAGTCCAACTACATCCTGTTTATCGTCACTCACATCCACATACAAAATTCCCAGAGGCAATACCATCCCTCATTCTTGCAACAGACGGGGACAAAACATCAGAGGATGGCAGTGGACAGGATATAGTATCAAAAAAATAGGAAGGGGGTTGGAACAAACAAGATGGCGGAGAGGGTGGAAGTGCACTGAGGAGCTTAGTCAACAACAACACAAAATACTGGACCAAGCAGGCTCAGGGGATGGTGCCAGAACTCTGAACCATATCTAAAGGTATATTTAGAAGGTTGGAAGGCTTACAGCTAGGGGAATTTGTAGCAGAAGCAAAAAATCCATTGCTTTCTAATCCAAGACACCCAGCTGCTCAAGGAACCACCACCTTGGGCGAGACCAAGCGAGGGAAGGATCAGAGCAGCCACGGATGCCTGACAGAACCGCAGAGATAAAGGTGTGGACACCCCATCCCCAACCCCGGAGAGTTCTAGTATGCATGCACACAGATCTCCTCAAAATTTAAAGTGACAGTTTCCACTTAAAACCAAACAACAGTGCAAAATGGCCATAGCCAGCCCTGAACTGTTTATTGCTGGGAAAAAGGCCTGAACGGGGATTGTGGAGAGGGACAGGCAGACTGAAAAGGAAATAGGCTGAAAATTAAATCCTGAGTTACATCATAATGACCAACAGTGGCATCTTGAAATTTCTCAGGAAGAAGCGTGAAAAAGGAAGCCCATCTTCTGATCACATCTACCTGGATGCAATCAGAAAGCATACAAAATGCACACCCATCTAAGTATTATGGCCACAGATAACTCCTGAATATTCCCAAACAACAACAGATGACCATATCAGCACATGTCCAGAAACAAGATAAAGTGACTGAGGCAAATGAGCTGGAAGTAGACCTATTCTCCATACTGGAAGATGAACAGGCTTTGGAAATGCCTAAGAAGGAATTCAGAAAAATTACTATAAAATGTATCAAAACACTTTAAAATGGAGTTGAGAAAAATAAGGAAGAAGTCAGGAAAGCACTACAGGAAAAATCAAATAAGATAGATACAGCATTGGAAATAATTCAAACCCTACAGAAAGAGATCCAAACAATTAATATTAGAATGTCAGAAAAGGACACAATATACTCAAAGGGCAAAGGAGTAGAACTGAAGAGATAGAAGCCAGAACTAGTGAGCTAGAAGATAAATCTCTCAACACTACTAAGATAGAAGAGCAAGCACATAAAAGGATTTTAAAAATCTGAAGAAGGCCTAAGGTACATGTTGAACAACATGAAGTTGTTGTTGTTAAGTGCCATTGAGTCGATTCCAAACCATAGCAACCCTGTATAGGGTTTCCAAGGATAAGCTGGTGAACTTGAACCACCAACCTTGCAGTTCAAACAACTTTGCAGTCTGACGCATTAGTCCACAGCACCACACCAGGACTCCAGAGGAATAACTTAAGAATTATCGGCATTCCAGAACAGGAAGAATTACACAAGTCCACAGAGGAGATAGTTGAAGAGATGTTGGGAGAAAATTTCCCTAACATCCTGAAAAGCGAAAAGATAAGCATTCAAGAACCTCAATAAACTGCAGGAAGGATAGACCCTAAAAGACAATCACCAAGACATAATAATCAAGCTCTCCAAAATCAAAGATAAGTACAGAATCCTGAAAGCATCTAGGGAAAAGAGAAGTGTAACATACAAAGGCAAGCAAATCAGATTAAGCTTGGATTTCTCAACAGAAACCATGCAGGCAAGAAGGCAATGGGAGACATATATAAAAACCTGAAAGAAAAAAACTTCCGGCCAAGAATCCTCTACCCAGCAGAGCTGTCAATCAAATGTGACAGTGTAATCAAAACATTCCAGGATAAAGAGAAGCTAAGGGATTTTACCAAAGCCAACCCTGCTATGAAAAACATCCTAAACAGTTCTGTGGGCTGAGAACCAACAAGAACAGACAACAATCAGAGAATGACGTCCATTACAGCATCACCCTGAACTCAACAGACAAATGAAAGAGTCAAGAACAGAATAAAATTATAAGAACAGAGGATGTGAGAGGTCAGTCTATAATCAAAACAATTTTTACAAGGTGAAAGGTAAACACAGAGGAACAGAGATCCAGGTGGTGAGAAGGTGAGGTAGATTACAGGATAAAATAGACTGTCTTAAGTGGAGGGAAGAATAAACAGAATATAAGGTAACCACAACAATGGGGTCGGGGTGGGGGATTTAGTTTGAGTGTTGAGGAGGGCTGTACAAGAAGGGGAAGGAGGTGGGAGAATAAGAATGCTCAAACCTGGGAGACAATGCATGCTCAACCCTGGAACAACAGGACTCTGTGATACAGGGGATGTAGGCATAGTTTGACGAGGGGAAGTAATACTAAAATGCATGACTGTCTTATGAATATTGGTTTCCCTTGCCTACTATCATAAAATAAATACTTGAATAGGATAGAAAGGAATGTTGGGAAACATGATTACAGAAAACTTGTAAGCCCATCTTCAGCCTATAACTGATTGAAATACCTAAAAGGGGTTCTACAACTTGTCCAGTGAAATAGGCCTCTTGCAAAGCCTTTGCTGAGTATAGGACCTTGGGTGGAATCCTGAGTCCCATCCAAAACCTTATGAGGTGGGATATTCCCACTAGAAAGGACAAGCAGACCAGCCTGGAACAGCTACAGCACCAGAAGATGCATCTTCAAAGACAGATCAGCAGGAAAAACCCCAAATAAAAATGTCAGCATAACTAGCTACTACAAGCTGTTCTCCGGGAAGCCATCAAGCCAAGCAATCAAATTCCTACAGGACAAATTCCCCTCTAAGACTGAAATTCAAAGGGAACACACAAGCAGGCATGTAAGCTTGCTGGCGACCATATTGGTCTACTGGTGAGTGGAAGATGGGGGAAGGCAGCAATGAAGAAATGGGCTAAGTTCAACCACAGTCCATTGACCCCTGTTGCCCTGGAGATGAGAGAGAGAAGAGGAAAGACTGGTTGGTCCAAAGTATGGTGAGACCTGAGGACACTTGAGCCAATGGACAAGAACACAGCCACAGAGGCTAGAGCTGAGAGTGAAGCATCCAGCTGATATGAAGTGAGGGGAGATGCACAAGAACACCGAAATTTGCAGATAGTACCCATTTGACCTCTGGTAGCGTAGTGGTTACGAATTGGGCTGCGTACTGCAAGGTCAGTAGTTCGAAACTACCAGCTGTTCCGTGGGAGAAAGATGAGGCTTTCTGCTCCCGTAAAGATTTACAGCCTCGGAAACCCTGTACAGGGTCGCTATGAGTCGGAACCGACTCCACGGCACTTAACAACAACAACCCATTTGACCTAGCCTCAACGGCTTGATAATCAGAACTGGTCTAGAGGAAGATTACCAAAAAAAAAAAAAAAAATTATCTTTTAGATAAAAGAAACAAAGGTAAATTGCTACAATTTGATGAACCTGACCTATACTCAAAGAGGTAGTTACTCTAAATACCAACAGAGAGGGAAGGAGTCACATGAAGTATCAATGCTATCCTCTCTGTACACAGGATAGATAGGGATGGGCAAGTTAGACATTGGCTACCTAAAATGATCAGGAGAAAATTGAGGCTTTCTGCTTCTGTAAAGATTTACAGCCTCAGAAACCCTATGCAGGGTCGCTATGAGTTGGAACTGACTCCACGGCACATAACAACAACAACATGCTATGGGTCGGAACTGACTCAGCGGCACTTAACAACAACCTAAAATGAAGGGGCGATAAATGCACCAAGTGACTGGCTTACAAGGTTTCAAGAAGGAGTTTAGTTTAAGAGTGTGTGTGTTAGGCGGGGAGTCCCCACTGAATAGTTTTCATCTTGTCTAGATGGGTCTGGTGAAAGGAGATGGGGATAAGATTCCTATGATTCAACAGTGAGTAATTGTTATCATGACTAATTGTGACTGTCACAATTGTAAAGGTAGAAGTATTGTAACAAAAACAGGGGGTGGTTAATCTTACAGTCCAGAAACAGAGGACCCTAGGACGATCAAGGGAGAAGAGCACAAGCGGAATGCGGGACCTTATCCAGAGAAGCAGCAATGCCAGAGACGGAGGCAAAGATGGGGACATGGAGAGAGGCAGCAGCTGAGGACTCCAGATTCATGGGAAGAGAGGGAGTAAGAGCCTGTGGCCAGGAGGCAGACTTGCAGAATGTGGCCTTTGGAGGTGTAAACTATTATATATGCCTGAGTGGTTTCTTTCTGGTTTTTGGGGGGTGTTTTTTTAAGAAAAAAAGCTAAAGTGAATAGAGAGAAATACTGTTAACTGATGGTATCTGGAGGGGATTATAATCATTGTAATGAAACAAGGTGTAAAATTTGTTGAATGTAAAACTGAAGGTCCTGTAAACTTTTACTCAATCCACGATAAAAATGTTATAAAGAAAAAAAAAATTCATAAGGGACTGGAAAAACCAGTCCAATTGCAAATAATAAATTTTCCCTAAAAAACAATCATTTCACCTCTCTCTCTTGCCCATTTTTTTCCTCCTCTTCTCCTTCCGCTTTAGGGGGCTGGTAACCTCATTCAGAAACTATATACCCCTGTCACTCTTACACACTGTGTCAGTAACTGGTCACCTGAAGGACCCAGGGCCCCAAGCAACACTCTATGCTAAGGCAAAGGTTATAATTATAAACTTTGGAGTCAAATAGATAGGATTTGAACTCTACCTTTATCATTTATTATCTATTTGGGTTAAGTTACTTAACAGAGTCCTGATGTGGCACTGTAGGATAAGCACTAGACCATAACATCGGTTTGAAAAGAGAGGTTGGTGGTTCAAACTCACTAATTGCTCCTTGGAAACTCTATACAGGGTCGCTATGAGTCAGGACTGACTCAACGCCACTTAACATTTGAACAAACAGTTTTCTTACTTGTAAAAAGGGTATGGTAATGACTACTTTTCAAGGTTGTTTTAAAGGTATAAATAAGAAAATAGATATACATCTAGATAATTAATAAGCTATCAACAAATACTAGTTCCCTTTCCCCTCTCACTTAAAATCAAATGTTAGATATGTTGTACATGCAGTCGCTGAGTTACAAGCATCCATACAACCCTTAGTTACAAAACAACCCTGGAAAGATTATTGCATTCAAAATTTGAGGTACATACAGTGGTTTGTAATAACAAACTGGTGCATCAAAACAGCATTAGTACTATTCTTGCATTATTATGTTAAAGTAATTTTCACATACCTGGAAGTGTTTCTTATGCACAAATGAGTACACTAAACAGTAAGACAAACATTTGACTACCATTACAAACCATATCTAACTATCCCGACTTACATACTAATTCAGCCTAAAGACAGACTTATGAACAGAATTTGTTCCCAATCCAAAAAAGATCAAAGATGCTACCCATTGCTAAGCTGATTCCAACTAAGCAAATATAGCCATCGATGAGATTCTTAAGGAAAAAAAGAACTTCTTAGGGTTTTGTTTACTTTTTGGAAGGGAGTTTTTGTTTGTTTTATTTAAATTTCCTGCCTGGTGTAGCACTGTAGTATAAGCACTGGACTGCTACCTGTAAGGTTGGCAGTTCAAACTCACCAGTGGCCACTCCTCAGAAACGCTAAATTGGGTCACTATGATTCAGAACCAATATGAGTGCACTAATAATAACACAGTATCCTGCACCTAGTAGACTTTTGGAGACCTGGTGTGACACTGTAGGATAAGCACTGGACTGCTAACAGAAAGGTCAGTGGTTCAAACCCACAAGCCGCTCCTCAGAAACCCTATACAGAGTTGCTATGAGTTGGACCTGACTCAATAGCACTTAAACAACAACATGAAGTTGACTTTTGACCACTGTTTGTTCTATAAAATTATCTTTTCTTGAAGAAAAGAAACTAAGGGTCAGCCACAGGGGAAGAAAATAAATTGACCTAAAATAAAGAAGCAATTAATTCTTCAATATTTTCTAAAATTAGTTGGTAAACTATGTTACCTCAAGGGTTTGGACTATGCAAGAAGAATCACATTAATCACAGATTCTTTCACATTACTAATGATTAGCAAAGCATAAGATATAAACCAGATAAGGAAAGACAAGGGTCTGGAAGGGTCCTGACCCCACCAGACACAGCTTCTTAATTGTCCCTTTTTCCTCAATGGTACATGCTCTGTTTGGGGAGTAACAGTTGGGTTCTAACAATGTATAAGGTATGTGTCAGCTCAGAGGAAGTCATTTAGCTTTGGGACTACTTACTTTTTATACTCCACTAATCACACAGCCTGGAAAGTTTATAAACTCCATCTCATAAATCTGTAATTTCCACAATTATGAATTCTATGCAATGTGGACAGCCCAGGTATATCATACTAAAATAGTCACAGATAAGAACACCCATTAACTTCCCTGTGATAAATACCATTGGTATATTTTTAAGGCAGTCAACATTACCCAGGCTCTGGAAGAGGGAGGGAGGGAGCTAAAGCCTGGTTTCCCATGAACCTCTGAAGAAAAACTTAAGTTCTGCTGTGAATGTGTGTGTTCTAAGAACAGAGGATGATGTAATTTAAAGTCCTATTCTTAGTGATGCAGAAAAACAAACTTTTCTTTTATTATCTGACCATCCTCACACTCTCCCTGACATCCTACTACCACCTCTTTCCTTTAGACTTGGGCTTTTCAAAAGACCTTTCTGAAGTGATGGAAATGTGTGATATCTGTACCATTCAGTAAAGTAGCCACAAGTGGCTATTGAGCGCTTGGAATGTGGCTAGTGTGCCTCAGGGAAATACATTTTAGCTGTAACTTATTTAAATTTAAGTTGACTAGCCACACGTGGCAAGTGGATACATAGTGTTTCCATCATTGAAGGATGTTCTGTTGGATAGTGTTGCCCTAAATTGCATCCAAAACTCTCCTCTCTGATTTCTTCTTAAGGGCAATCATGTTCATCTCGATGCCTCCTACTCACTTCCTAGGCTCCTGGTTGGACAATTTAATGTTCTTTTTCCACGCCTTCCATCACTCAACACATTCTTGTCTGAGTCATAGAGGATATAGCAAAAAGTAACAAGAGAGTATCTTTACTTTCAGGACGTTTATAACCTAGTTGGAAAGATTAAATAAACGTCCACAAAGCAACTATAAAATAATCCTAAGAAAATCACTTTGGGGACTGTACCAAGTGGGTGGGCTACCATCTCCACTACCTTATCAAGTCAACAACATTCTTTTTACTAGCAAAAACAAAAAAACAAAACTCTCAAATAAGAACACTGGCATGAACCATTCCCAACCTGAGAAAAGCCATCCTCAAGCCTGAATTACCTGCCACAAAGTCAAAGTACTTGCTTGACATGTGTGAAATGGATTAATCATATCTGTGTTTGTTTTTCAAATTTTCCCTAAATATTTATTGAAAAACTTATTATGTACAAGGTATTATACTAGGTGTTATAGAAAATACAAAAATGAAAAAAAAAAAAAAACCACTACACATTTAGATAGTGGAGAACTGATAAATGACCATTCCTGAAAGCTGTGAGCACATCAGTAACATAGGTGTTGAGCCCTATAAATTGTTAACATACATTTATGTGTTCTGTTCTGTTTCTGTAATAGTTCTGGATAATTTTAACTTGAGTCTGGATACATCAAAAGGTCTCTGAGAAGAAGAAATGCATATTAAAAATTGAGAATACTTACAACTCAAAAATAAGATAATGGCCAATCCTTATTATTGGGAATTTTATTAATATATTTAATCAATATCTGTGGCCTCCATAAATTCACAGTGGTATTATATATCAAATTATTCATTAGTCTTATTTATCTGAACTATTCTAAATAAACCTTAAGGCCTCATACTACCTATTAGTAAAGTCTTTATAATTATTTTCAGTGATGATCCACGAACAATATGTAATCAGTTGAATGTGTCTTTGTTGCAAGTAAATGCTTACTACAAGCAATTTTTCTCAAACACTTACCCTTTCCTGGTATCGCCTTTCAAAGAATGCCATATCATCCTCTTCAGGTTTCCTTAAGGAAGAAACCTGACTACTTGTGCTTTCTAATAAGAAGAAATTAAAAATTTTATACATTATATTCACATAATTATAAATTCTCTATAAATAAACTTAAAAAAAGCTTCACTCCTACCAGGTGATAATGTCTTATTTGCATTTCTCAAATCAGAAATGGTCTCATTAATTAGTCCCATTATTAAATTTTTTAAAGAAAGATTGGCAACATAAGACAAAAGTTATATTCTTTGACAAACATTCTTGAAATATTAAATAACACTACATAACTACTTCATGTAAGAGTACACTTTGTTGAATTGTACAACTAAACTAGAAACCCATGCTACTCTAAATGAGATAATGCCAACAAGTAATTAGGTAATTACTGAGGCATTGTAGGATCAGCACTGGACTGCAAACTACAAAGTATGGCAGTTCAAACCCACCAGATGCTCCGTGGAAACCCTATAAAGGGTCGCTATGAGTTGGAATCAACTCACAGACACTTAACAACAACAACAAATATAGCAGTAATTTATCCATTAATAACTGGAACATAGAATGTACAAAGTATGACTCTAAGAAAACTGGAAGTTAACAAAAACTGAAATGAAACGCATAAACATCAATATCCTAGGTGTTAGTTGAAATGGACTGGTATTAACCATTTTGAATCAGACTATAATATACTTTGCTATACCAAGAATGACAAAGTGAAGAGGAATAGCATTGTATTCATCATCAAAAAGAACATTTCAATATCCGTCTTGAACTATAATGCTAAATGTTGAAAGAAAACATTCACATGCCTACAAGTAAGCCAAGTTAATATCACTATTATTCAAATTTATGAGCCAACCACTAAAGTCAGTGATGATGAAACTGAAGAATTCTATCAACTTCTTCAGTCTGAAATTGATGAAACATACAATCAAGATGTATTGATAATTACTAGTGATTGGAGTGCAAAGGATGGAAACAAAGAAGTATCAGTCTTTGGAAAACATGCCATTGGTGACAAAAATGATACTGGAGATTGCATGATAGAATTTTGCAAGTCCAATGACTTGTTCATTGAAAACACCTTTTTTAAACAGCATAAAAAACTATACCCATGGTTGTTTGATGATGGATGGAGGGGATTATAATCATTGCAATGAAACGAAATACAATAGGATGAATGTAAAGCTAAAGTTCTCCCATGTAAACTATCACATAATTCACAATAAAAACTTAAAAAAAAAACAAAAAAAAAAACCTATCCCCATGGGCCTCACCAACTGGAATACATAGAAATCGAATTGACTACAACTACGGGTCTCGACGGCACTTAACAACAACAACATGGAAAGAGACAGAGGAAAAGTTCAATATCATCAGTAAAAACAAGTCCACAGACTTGGAAAAGGCTGTCAGTTGCTCACACAAGTTCAGTCTGAAGCTGAAGAAAATTAAAGCAAGTCCACCAGAGCTAAAATATGACCTTGAATTTATCCCACCTGAATTTAGAGATCATCTCAAGAACAGATTTGATACGTTAGACACTATGACACACACTATGACCAAAAACCAGAGGAGTTGTGGGATGACATCAAGAACATCCTACAGGAAGAAAGCAAAAGACCATTAAGAAGACAAAAAAGAAGAAAAAGACCAAAATGGATGTCAGAAGAGACTCTGAAACTTGCACTACAGTATAGAGATGCTAAAGCAAATGGAAGACATGAAGAGGTAAAAGAGCTGAACAGAAAATTTCAAAGGACAGCTCGAGAAGACAAAATCACATGTTATGATGAAATATAAAAAGACCTGGAGTTAAAAAACCAAAAGAGAAGAACACACTCAGAGTCTTTTAAGCTGAAAGAACTGAAGAACAAATTCAAGCCTCAATTTGCAATATTAAAGGATTCTATGTGCAAAATAGTAAATGATGCAGAAAGCATCAAAAGAAGATGAAAAGAATACACAGAGTCACTGTACCAAAAAGAAGTGACCAATGTTCGACCATTTTAAAAGGTAGCATATGATCAAGAGCCAATGGAGCTGAAGGAACAAGTCCAAGCTGCACTGAAGGCGTTGGCAAAAAAACAAGGCTCTGGGAATTGATGGAAATAAATTGAAATCTTTCAACAAAATGATGCAGCACTAGAGGTACTCATTCATGGATGCCAGAAACTTTGAAGACAGCTACCTGGCCAACTGATTGGAAGAGATCCGTATTTGTGCCCATTCCAGAAAAAGTTGACCCAACAGAATGCAGAAACCATTGGATAGTATCATTAATATCACATGCAAGTAAAATTTTGCTAAAGATAATTCAACAGCTGCAAAAGTACATTGATGGGGAACTGCCAGTGATTCAAGCCAGACTCAGATAAGGATGTGGAACGAGGGATATTACTACTGGCACCAGATGAATCTTGGCTGAAAACAGAGAATACCAGAAAGAAGTTATCTGTGATTTATTGACTATGAAAATGCTTTCAGCTGTATGGATCATGAAACTCTATGAATAACATTGCAAAAAATGGGTATTCCAGAACATTTAATTATGGTCACGAGGAACCTGTACAAGAGACAGTCGTTTGAACTCAACATGAGGACACTGAATGGTTTAAAATCAGGGAAGGTGTGCATTAGGGTTGTATTCTTTCACCATACTTATTCAATATTTATGCTAAGCAAAGAATCTGTTACACTGGATTCCTTGAAGAACATGGCATCGGGATAGGAAGAAGACTCATTAACAACCTGCAATAAACAGATGCTACACCTTGCTTGCTAAAAGCAAAAGAAGACTTAAAATACTTACTGATGAAGATCAAACACAACAATCTTCAGCATGAGTTGCACCTCAATGTAAAAAAAAAAACTAAAAGCCTTACCACTGAACCAATAAATAATATTATGAAAAATGGAGAAGCAATTGAAGTTTTCAAAGACTTCATTTTGCTTGCAGTGAAGAAATCAAACTACGTATTGCATTAGACAAATGTGCTGCACAAGACTTCTTTAAAGTGTTCAAGAGCAAAGATATCACTTTGAAGACCAAGATGCTCCTGACCCAAGCCATTTTTCAATAGCCTCGTATGTATGCAAAAGTAGGACAATGAATAAGAAAAACTGGAAAATTGATGTATTTGAGTTATTATGTTAGAGAAGAATATTGAAAGTACCATGGACTTCCAGAAGAGCATACAAATCTGTGTTGGAAGAAGTACAGCCAAAATGCTGCTTAGAAAGCAAAACAGCGAGACTTCATCTTTCATACTTTGGACATGTTATCAGGAAAGATTGTTGTTGTTGTTAGGTGCCATAGAGTCACTACCGACTCATAGCAACCTTATGCATAGCAGAACAAAATACTGCCCAATCCGGGGCCAACCTCACTATTGTTGCCACGCTTGAGTCCATCGATGCTGCCACTTGGCCAACCCATCTCATTGGGGGTCTTCCTATTCTTCTCTGACCCTCCACCTTACCAAACATGAAATCCTTCTCCAGCACCTGGTCCCTCCTGACAATATGTCTGAAGTATGAGACACGAAGTTTGGCCATCCTGGCCTTCAAGGATTAGTCCCTGGAAAAGGACATCGAGTTTGGTAAAGCAGAGAGTCAGCAAAAAAGAGGAAGACCCACAAAAAGATGGATTGGCATAATGGCAATAACAATGGGCTCAAGTTTGTGTAACAATGATTTTAAGGCTTAACACAGGACTGCACAATGTTTTGTTCTTTTGTGCATAAGGTTGCTATAAGCCGGGACCAAGTTGATAGCACCTAACAAAAACACATAGCAGTAAAACTACCTGAGTTGAAACTTTTTCAAAACTAAAATAATGTTAGCCATTTTCCATGTTATCAGATTTATAAAAACCATCATACAGTTGCTTAGGTGTTAGAAGGAATTTACAATTGATTCAGGAGAGAAAATCTGGTTATCTATGTAGGTACCCTAAGAGCCCACTTCTATGGAAAGTGGAAGGTATACATCTTGGTTGGGTCCCTTCATTTCCAAAACAGAATAACAACCTTTCCCCTGTTCTTCCGGTTTCAAAAGTATATAAATTTACCTCAACCAGCAACACAAAATCACATAACTCTAGACAACACCACAGATTAAAATTATACTCTATTAAATAAACTATTTAACTCTAACAACAGCTTGTTGTGAAAAATAAAATATAATATGACTGCTTATAACATGTGCTACCCATTCAACTGGGAACTAGGGGATTGGAAGTGGAGCGCGTTGAAATTGGACTCACTTTATTGAACTGATTCTAATAGAATGCCTTTGGCTTTGAACAAAATAGGCTCTCAGAAATTAGTAACCTTATGCTACATTTGCTGAAAATAGGATTTTGTGGGCATACAGCAGGGGTGGAGAACGTCTGGCCTGTGGGCTGTAGAAGGCCTCAAAAACATTTGGTCTGGCCCTGCCAAGGCAACCGCAGGCGGGACTAAAAATTCAATAAATCTAGAAGCTTTATTGATAGCAACATAAATTTATATTAAGTGATATTTTAACTATCCCAATGGCCCTTGGCAGAAAAAAGGTTCTCCACCCCCTACTATACAGGGTCACTACATGGGCTCCACTGAAATCCTGCACTGATGGAACTTTCGTTAGCATTGAGTAACTCATGCTGCCTCTGGTCTAAGAGGGAAAACCATTTAACTCTTTGTGCCTGGGCTGCTGCGGGGCTCAGTCAAACTGAAGCTTTAGTGCAGCAATCAAATCAACCTTGAACACTAGCACAATTGTGTCCTGTTTTGATTTTCTTTCTTTCTTTTATCTGCATTTTGTTATTCCCTCACTGCATGTTGTTTTTTCAAGTAGCCTTAAAATCTCTTGTGGAAAAAATCAGAGTTAATTCAATTATCATTTAAAAAATAGTTATAAATATCAAATAACCTAATTAGTCATATAAATTCCTTCAATGTTTGTTTTCAATAAATGATTCAGAACACAGCAGCTGAAAAATGGTGTCTAGGTGATCTTAATTTATAAATGATCAAGCTTGCTACCCTATAATTATAACTGA